ACCGAATTGTCCAATTGGTCAAATTGGATCGGACTATTTGGTTCGGATATCTGGATTTTTGGATTGGTTTTTAGCAAAACCAAATTATTATTTTGGATTTCGGATTGGTTTTGGTTTATAAAATAAAAACCGAATAGTCCAAAAAAACCGAATTGCAATTTATTATTTTGTTCTTTTTAATATATATCTTTAATAATTTATAAATTTACTAAATTATTCTTTTAGTATATTAAAATTTTTCATCTATTATAATACTTTAATATGTACTTCTTATCAAAAAAAATTTTGTCTATAAAGTGGTAAACTATAATATATTTTTCTTGATAGTTATTTATATGTTTTAATTCACAACTAATTAAACAATATTTTTTAGTTTATATTATAGAATAAGTTAATACTAAAGTTATATATTTGTTGAAATGTCTTGATTCTTGAAAACCGAATTGTAAAAAACCGATCCAACCGAATTATAATTTGGTTGGATCGGATCGGATTTGAATTTAGTTTGGACTATTTGGATCTACGTTTTGAAAACCAAAATTAATTTGGATTCACTTGATCGGATCGGATTAAATCGATCCATCCAAACGAACACCCCTACAGAAAACACTACAAAAATCTTTAATATATATAAAAAAACAAAAATGGACCAAAAATGTCAAATTCAACAAAATCTAAGGACCATTTATTTAAAATAATTCCTCATAAAACACTGTTCATATTAATTAAAGAAGCGACGACAAAAAAAAATGGGAATCGTTTAGAGCAAAAGGGAAGCAAGAGAATTAAGCGAAAGAAGTCAAAAACAATAGCTTATGGCAAAAGTGGCAACAGGTAAAACATTTGAGGCAAAGCAATAGCTCATTTTATATTTTCATTTTCTAAAACCTAAGTATGTGGTTTCGAGGATTCTGTATGGGTCGGTTTTGGACCCAAACCGAACCAAACCCGTCAATGGCCGGTTTCTGGTTTTCAGAACCCAATAGGATCGGTTTCTGGTCGGTTTGGTTTATCGGGTTCTGGAGTCGGTTTTGACGGTCTTCCGGTTTCTTGGGTTCAACCCATATACTTACGGGATCTCCAAGTCCACAACAGTCGATGCAAACTACTACTGACAGTGTCGATTTCTCCAAGTCGGAACCAAATCAACACCAAAATTGATCCAAATCATAACTAAACTATCTTCTAAGAGCAAATTAATTCTTGACTTCTATAAAGCATCTTCGGTTCGTTTGTGTACTGATACAGGCTCAAGCACATGGATGTTGTACTACGTGTTCATAAGGAAGGCATCAAGTATTGTATAGTTTTGAGAGTTGGTTATGTCAATAACTGATTGGTGTTTAGAGATGATTCATTTATTTTGAGTTGATGTATATATCCCTGTTCGAAGTTATTATTTTGAGAGTTGGTTACACCTTTTGTGTGTGTGAGATTTATTTATTTATTTTTTATTTTATTATTATTATTATTATTATTATTTTTCAGAATTTGATGTATTGGACTATAATTATAATCAATAATCACTCATTTTTGGGATAGCTAACACATGTTTGATCATATTGGTAATTTGGAATATGAATTGCAGGATTTACACATAGGCAAATGTAAAGTCATAATGAAAACTGTATTAAGACTTTTCTTGAATTGCAATACAACTTATTTTAATTTGTATAAGTCCCATGCAATTTGTTTTCTAAATCGTTTTCTCGGATATATTTCAAAACAACACTGTTTATTTTGATTTTAGAACTTCTTTAGTCATTTATTATAAATATCAATTTTAAAGGTAATGTAAATAGCGTTTATATTAATGTTAAATATATGTTATTACTAAGTTTTACATTTAAAAACCGAAATATATCCAAAGAAGTTCTAAATGACTAAAGAAACCGAAATATACCTAGAAACCGAATTATAACTAAGTTTTACATTTAAATTTATATATAGTATGGGTCGGTTTGTCGGTTTCTTTTGTGGAATTGTGGGTTGGTTTCTCGGTTTGAATGGGTCGGTTTCTGGGTAAAAACTGAAACCGAAGCTGATTTTTCAGTTTTAAAAAAATTCAAACACTAACCGTCGGTTTTGCTTCCGTTTCAATTTTTTTGGTTTCGGTTCGTCGGTTTCTTGGTTCGGGTTTGCTCACCCCAAGTGGTTTCCTCCACCTCTCTGGTGAAAACTCCCCACCCCTTCTTTTTACTACCACCAACATCCCTACTATTATCGCTCACACTTTTCCTTGTTCCTCTCTCTCCTGCAATTTTGCAAAAACCTCTCTCTGTGACTCATCTTGAATCATGTGCCACAAATAACATCCGTTCAAGGATATAAGGCAGTGTTTGTTGCTGGATGAAAGGTGGGAGGTGGATGATGCTTCAGGTGGTGTTTGATATGACCAACATAATTTAATGGTAAATCATATAAAAAAAAATTAATGGCAAATCGTGTATTGAGAAAAAAAGTAAAAACATTAACTTGTAATCCCCGGTCAAAGTGGTATGTTTGAACAACTAAGATGAATTTAGTGGTAAATTGTATACAATAATAATAATAATAATCTACAAAAATGATACTTCATTCCTACAAAGTAATTTTGCCAAGTTTTATACACGGCTATAGGGTGCCCATGACATCCAATGTGACATGTAATGTCAACAAACATCGCCCCTCATGAGCCACAAATTCCGTATGCATGTAATGAACAACAAATGTTTGCTACTGAAAAAAATGGTTGACACCTCTCTCTCTCTCACTCTCACACACACCACCCCACCACCATTGAGGCATCAAATGACATGGATAAATTTTAGACAAAACTGCAAAATTAGTCCCTGTGGTATTCAAAAAACTTTGGATATGGTCCAAAAAGTTTTTAACTTGCATGGAAGGTCCAAAATCAAGAATTTACTGTGATTTTAGTCCAAAAAATATTGAAAGGACTATTTTGCCATTTTCATTTCCTCTTTGTATTTTTTATATTTGTTTTAATACTTTATTAATTAAAAAACAAACATAAGAAAAAATAAAATAAAAAAGTATGTCGGGTCCACCCAACCCACATGTTCTCTCTCTCTCTTAAATACACCGACCCACCTTTGTCTTTCTCCTTCACCTTAAAAACATTGAACCCCCCTCTCCATTAGAACCGAAAGCTGCTTCTACTCCCACAGATCCACTGCAATCCCTTCCCATCAACAACCCGAAATCAGATGTGAGTAAAAAGTTTCACGAACTGGTCCGGAGACTTTTGAGATGGCTGCTATGTTTTGTTATGCCTTGAAAATCGAGTTATTGTCGTCCAACGTCGCTTCTCTCCGTTTTGCTTCAAAATTGTGAGAAGCTTCTCTTTCACATCGATCCGTCTCTATTTAGTTTGCCGGAGAATGAAGCTGAAGCAACGGTGAGTTCTGGTGGCAAAAATATGGGAGCCACCACCGGATCCACCGCCATTCATGAAGATACAACTCATCACTTACCATATTTCCCCTTCCAAACTCACCATTAAAGATCTGCTCGATAAACCCCTCAATACCTGCATCTCCACCACGTATCAACAACAGAAGATATCCATCACTAAAAAAGATGAAAAGTCAATCTGCTAAAGTCATCTCACCAAGAACAAGGTTGAATGGGGAATATTGGTCAAATTAATGAACTCATCCAGGTTCGCCTCTTTTGCAATTGGGTTGCATACTGTTCTTGATAGGGTTTTCAATGAGCATCCAAATTTGAAGTCATTGACGATCTTTTGCACCTCCGATTATAATACAAGCCTGGTTCTCATTAAAGTTTAGAATGGTGGTGACCTATTGAACTGGGAAAACCCATCGGTGGGTTTGAAAAGGCGGATACAAATACCAGATCGGAATCCACACAACCCAAATACATTACATCCAATTTCAAACCCAAATACATTGCTTCTTCTTCTTCCAGTTCCATAAGCCATCAATTTGTATGTTTTTATGTTAGTCGTTATTCCTGAAAAAACCCATAAATCGATTTGTGTGTGTTTATGTTAATCATATGTGTGTTGTGTGGGACTTTGATTTGCAGGTGTTGAAGTGAGAGAGAGAGAGAAAGAAAGAGAGTAGGGGTGATTTTGAATAGTGGTGATTTTGAATCCATTGCTAAATCAGCATTTTTAAGTTTTTGCAATGTTTTAAAAACCGGTTTTTTAGTTGAACCGGTATAGTGACCGGTTCCCGGTTCGACCGCCGGGTCAACCGGTTTCTATAATTTTCCTATTTTTTCCTATTTTTTTATACATACATACATATATAAATCATGAATTTGACGTTTACAAGTTCAAACATTAAAAATATACATAAAAATAAGTTGTAGATCACTTAAAATACATTAAAACAACACATAACCATAAGTTTTAATGTTTTGTATCAATCCATATACGTCAAAAAGAAAATAAAGTATAATACCGAAACAAAATATAGTTTTAGATGAATACAAACATATCAAAAAACTTTATAACATTTATTATATGTTTTTATTTAGAGAAAAGTAGATAGATTTGAAAAAAAACACCAAAGTTTATTATGCAAATGGTTCTTTTCCTTATGTTTTTATTTAGTTTAACCGGTTCAACCGGTTAATTTTGACCGGTTCAACCGGGTTTTTCTAAAAACCGGCCGGTTCAATCCGGTTCAGAAATCGACGTAAAACCGGTGATAGTTGAATCGCTCCCTTTTTCGGTTCCCGGTCCAACCGGTTTGACCGGCCGGTTCAAACCGGTTTTTAAAATATTGAGTTTTAGTGAAAAACTTAAATATATAATTATATGGAAAATTAGTTGGAGATTTTTGTTCAAAAAAGAAGGGTGCCCAACAAAGAATAAGAAAAAAATTTCCACTTTGCATTTTACCGCAATTTCTACACCTTTCTTAAACATTTCTTCCCTTTTACAAATAAAACAACAACAGCCACCCTATATAATGATTTTAATTCAAATCTCCCACACAGATTCAGATTGTTTTCATTGTCGTTCCTCATTTCTCAGAGGGAGTTGCAGGTGCCTCATCTTGACGAGATATCACAGTTTCAAAAGCACCCACCAACGCCCCCACCTTCGTCTTCATGTCCTCCACAAGCTTACTCGCTGTTTCCTCTATCACACTATTAAGCAACTCCTGCGCTTCTTTCCTCCCCACTTCTTGGTGCTTCAAATTCACTTTCTCCGATTCTTCCTCTTCATCGCTCTCCACCACCGTTCCCGCCTTAAATTTCAGCCTCCGAAAACCATCATCCCCGTCGACTTCCAACACTTTCCCTCTCCTGAACTTCACACCCCGATGACCATCTTTTCCTTCGGATCTCACCACCCTATATCTTCTTGCTTTCTTCTCATCATCATCATAATCATCGTCATCATCTCCTTCTTCTTCTTCCAAGATATAACCTTCTTCATCGTATTCAAACTCTTCTTCTAGCAGAAGTTCTTCATCACAAACTTCATCATCCACAGACTCTGAGTTTTCAACCTGTTCGTTGGAAGAAGATTCACCGTTTCCAGATGATGACTCTGAGTTTTCAACCTGTTCTTCATCCAAAACCTCTTCGGAATTTTGAAGGACGGTTGATTCTGTTGTAGTTAGGGTTTCAGGAGACTCGATCGTTTCTTCTTCAACGCCCATTTCTGCAGCCTCAGCTTCTTGTAAGATCATTTCCTGCATCTTATCTGCAATCATCAGCCTGAGCTGCGTTTTTGTTATCACAGTTTGATCCTTTCGAGGAGACGCATGTTTATTGCTCTTTTTGGGGCTAATCTTAGTAGCTTTTTTATTTTTAAGGGTAGATGAAGAATGGTTCGCTGAAATTGGCTTAATAACTTTTTTAGAAGGTAGCGAGTTATGGAGCTTGACGGCTTTAACAGGTACAGCAGGAGCACGAATTTTGGGAGCTCGAGAAGATTTAGGTTTTATTTCTGTTATCTTCTTTCTCTCGACAGAAACTACAGTCCTTTTGACTCCATTATTCTTAGTGACTGATCTTTTTCTTGAAGCCAATGTTCTTGTAGTTCTTAATTCCATCTTTTCATCTTTCTTACCATGTTTACACAAATCATGACAAGAACCAGTTGAGGGTGTGAGATAACGAGAAGTTGTCATAGCGTATATTCTTTTTGGACCCAAATTTCTTGTATTTTTGTATTCCATCCATTCATCTGTAGCATTTTTACAGGAATCATGACAAGAACCAGTTGAAGGTTTGAGATAACGAGGGTTGACTCGGTATTCTTCTATGATAGTTTTTTGAGTGGTTGATGATATGATGTATCTTCGGGGTGGTTTGCCTCCCTGAGCACCCCCAACAGCATTTTCATCTACTCGGGTAGCCATTACAATAAGAAGAAAGCTTAAAAGTTAAACCTGACACCACACAAGAACATGCATGTCACCAATGTGATAAAAAGATGATGCACATCAAAAGCATAATATTGCTACCAGCTACCTTTCTCTGTACATGTTTATGAACATTAATTTGAAATATAAGTCAATTTTTACTGTTTTGGAAAAGGTGATTGATGTTTATGGAGTTTTTGTCAGGTGATTGAAAAAACTAATTTTAGTGTAATTTCAAAAATATTTACCATTTTAGTCATATTTGTTTACTTTTCAATTTTTCTTATTGTTTTTTTAGTTTAAATATGCGATTATTTCTTCCTTTCCCCTTTATTTCAACTTTTTATTTTTTTCTTATTTTTTTTAAACAATAGTTTTTATTTCAGTTTTTTTTTATTGTTTTTTTTCAAAATAGCAGTTTTTTTATCTTTTTTTTTCTGTTTTTTTATTTTAAATATCCATTTTTCTTACACAAACCTTTGATCATCAAATTTTAGTCATCATAAATTAAACATAATGACATATAAAAGATTACTTAGGTGTTGTTTAATTTTTAATAAAAAAAAAATCTTTTTAACCTCTTATGTCTACTGGCGGAAAGACATTTGAGAAAAAAAATATTTATTTTTCAGAAGACATCAGACATAAAAGAGTTTTTTGACATCTTTTTCAAATAAAACAAAAAATAGCTCTTGATTTTTAAAGTTTTTTTTTTTTTAAAGTTATAACTCTTTGTGATATTGCTTCTTCCCCTACGAATGAAGTCATCACCGCTATCACCACCACGGTTGCCACCACCACCATCCCTGTCATTGTTGTCACAGCTTCCACCTTTGTCACCACCTCCACCTGCACCTTCTCCCACACCACCCCTACCCCCTACCTCCGCCACCACCACCACTACTTGTGCCGCATCCACCACCATTTCCGCCGCCTCTACCAACTTCGTCGAGTTTTTTTTATAAAGACTTTAAAAAACAAACATTTGTCTATGAAGACTAAAGAAATGGAAAAAAACAAAAACAAAAAAAAAAAAAAAACTTTTGTACCATATTTTATTTCACCTGCATTTAAAAAGACCAAATACATTTACATCATCGAAAACAAACACTATCTTATTGTTGGAAAGTACTTGAAGATACCCGATTGAAGAATTTTTTTGATACGCATTAATTTAAAATATTTTTTGTTGGTCAATATTATATTTGTGATTTTATATACGTTAGTTTGAAGTTGTAATCTTTTACTAAGCGACTAATTTTGTAATAGTTTTATTTGTTAACACCTCTTAAAAATATAGAGTTGATGGTATGAAAATATAAAAAAAGCAAAAAAATAAAATAAAAATTAAGTAATAAATAAATATGGATCGTTTCGTTCATAAAAAAATTAAACATAAAATAACAATGGTGTAACTAATGAAAAAGATTGAAAAAATAAATTTGCGTACATAATTTCAAGGGAACTAATTTGTGAGGCAAAAACGGAAATTTACAAGATTTTAGCTAGAGATCTTTTCTTTTTAATATCTAAAATTTTAAATTAGGGGCAATATTGACAACTCATGAATTTTCAGTGGACTAAACAAAAGTAAAAGTGGAAAAATCAATTCCTTAATACTAATATGGTAAATATTTTTGAATACACACTAAAATGGTAAATAGTTTTTTCAATAACCCTATTATGGACAAAAACTTGATGTTTATGGTTGAGAATTTAAGTGGAATCTGGTTTCTGTTTACAGATTAATCATCAATAATGGCACAAATAAATGATTTCGATCATGGAAACATATATCATAATCATTAGCATTAAATTGCATAGACACAACAGAATTCACAAAGCACGTAGTGTAATTGAACAGAAATCCAAAAGAAAAAAAAAAGTATCAAGGAATTCCGTTTAGGAAGAAACAGCAATCGAAAACAAAATGTAGGATGTATATGTATATATGATCCTTATCCTTCACATACAATTGAAATAAAAGATATAGAATTAAAATCACGAAGAAGATGAAAGCTAAATAGGATGTACCTTTCTGTTACTTAAGCTTTCTTCTTAATTAGAATTAGGAAGAAGATGAAAGCGAAATAGGACGTACCTTTCTGTTACTTGAGCTTTTTTCTTAGGAGAAGCGAAAAAAATCGAGTAACAGAAAGGGCATTGATTATAGATGGGTTATGCCTTAGATTAAGAACCCTAATAGTCACAATCATATATAAAGCAATATTTAGCGGGTTTCATGGCGAAAGACATGGCATAGAAACCAAGGACTTCACCTGTTTTTAGTAATATATAAATTTAAATAAATTATTTATTTTCGATCACAAATCCAAAATAATAATAAAAAAAACCCAAAAAAAAACAAGAGGATGATTTCTTTTCAACTTTACCCAATCATATACTATTCCGACATATGTGCAATTGCAAGATGCTAAACAAAGCTTGTGTGTACATATATTTGTTTATAGTTTTTCTTCTTTTTTGCTCCAATTAATCATGATCGTTTACGACCAGAAACTGTCTTCTTAACTGCACCAACGGAAACTAGAAACTGATCGAGCGATGATAAAGTTTTCATGTCATCTGGAGGAAAGTAACTTGCAGCCTTTCCCATAATCGATGTAAACAGAAGTTGAAGAGAAGGTCGTGTAACATAACGCTCTCCTAACAGATCATCAAGAAACGCAAAAGCTGCTACAAAATCGGATCTGTTTGCGTTTACAGGAGCAGCAAAGTGTGCAGGGATGATTCTCTTAAATCTCCAATCTCTCGAGATGCTGTCGATCCAATCCCTCACCTAAAAATAAAAAACAAATCATCGATTTGATTTCATTTTCCTTTTCAAATCGACAAATTTAAACAGGTCTAATAATGGTTAATTAGTGGACATGCCTTTTCAGGAACTTTGCTGAAGACTAATGTTTTAACAATGGGGGAAACAATTAATTTCTGTGACATTTGTGAGAAACTAGCGTTTGGTTCTAGCAGATTTGATGGGCCAAGAAACAAGATTTGAAGAACCATTCTCTCCCACCCTGTAACAAGAGGATCATTGATTCAATATATAAAATGGCAATATATAAAATGGCAAAAGGGTACAAGCGTAATTTACTTTCTTTAACCAAAAACAGACCTTTTTGCCTGTTCATGGAGTTATCAACGACTGGTTCTTGAGAGACTTCTTTCCCTTTACTAAGAAGCTTTACAGCAAGCCCGTTTTTAGCAGAAGCCAACAAGGAATCATTGCTTATACACTCAGGAGGCTGTTTAGGTACAAATATTACAGCATCAGTTACAAGTAGTGTCTTTGAAGGCTTATGATAAAATGCGACCTCCACGTATGGTCCGATTCCTGAATTAATCAACAACGAGAACAGATGAATGATAGATGAATCTTGAAGCTAATAATTGATGAGAAGGTTTAATTAAGTGATTTTAGGGTTTATATTACCGACTTCAGGGGAGCTAAGAATCTTTTGTTCGATCTCTGAAGCCCATGGGGTTGAAAGATCTTCATGCAGTAATGTTTTAGCACGAAAAATCCCGAAAAATTCAAGTGGTAAATTCAGAGGCCAACTCCATTGTCTTGGTGCCACCCATATTTGAGCTTCTGGGAACTTTCTGGAAAATGGGCCGACAAATATTTTATGCTCGTAAGCAAATGTAGGCAGGACAATGTATTCTACTGGGGCTCCTAACTCCTTCACTAACTGGAAAATTGAAAGAGAATTACAAGTTTGAAAATAAAAATCCAAACAAACATGTTGAAATTTGACATGAATCAAGTAGCTACCTGAATGCATTCTTTAGTTGGGGCAATTGGTGCATGAACCCACAATCCACCTGATTTGAGTTTGATTACAGTCATTCTGATGTTTGTTGAGACGCTGCTGAATCCCAATGCCTGTTCTTGCTCGAACAGCCATATGCAGTCTTTTACAGCCTGAAATAATCATGGAGGGTGAAGATCTTAATGTAAATAAATACACACCCACGGAAATTTTTCTCATAGCCCTAAAGAATAGGGCTTTACCTCGGTCCTGATAGTGCGTCTATTGAGAAAAGGGCCAAGAGGGAATGGGAAACCAGTGAAATTGACGTAAAATCTACCACTACCACCGCCGGTGGTGGTTGTAGTAGTGGTTCCGGCGGAAGCAGAGACTATCAACCTGGGAAAATCCAAATCCCTAGGTTTATTGGCGTAACCTGGTTTGAAATTTAAAGATAAACCCTCTAATGGACACCCACTAAGGAATTTAGAATTGGATTGTTTGAGAAGATCTATAGTGGTTGATTTAGGTAAAAGAACAGATATGGCTGCCGCCATTTCTGTTAATTTTTCTGAAATTGATGAAAAGTAACCGGAAACCGAGAGTTGAAGAACAAAGAAGAAAGAAAAAGAGTTCGAAAGGTAAGGTGTGTGATTCAAGGTTATGCTTCTTACACGTGGACTCCCATAGTCCCATGTTGGGATCTTCCTACCTGGATATTCAGACTTATTTTTGTCTTTTTTATTTTGTGATAATTAGATGATGAAAAATTGAAATCGTGATTTTTTAATTTTTTAATTTTTTATATTACGTGTTTGATCGATTACTGTACAAAACAATCTTAAAGTTTTTTTTTAAAGAAAAACCATCTTAAAGTTTTGTTGTTTTTGCATAATTCGTTTAAATAATTACCAGAATTTGTATGAAATAACATAATCAAAACAATTAGAGGTCCAACAGTAAATTGAGTTTGAATGAAATATGTTCTAAACCATGAGGAAGTGATACTGACATGTTTCAACCTCACGACTCTTACACCACATTAAATTTTTATAACTGTTTATGCATTTCAACCAAACACATGGTCAAAAGATACATACAATCATTGAATAAATATCAAACTAGGACACTATATAGTAAATACCAAGGTTCTAAATTTTTATAACTGTTTATGCATTTCAATCAAACTAGGACACTGAAAAAAACTCGCGTCATAACGCGATAAGGCGCGCCTTGACACGTTATTTGGGCGTCACGCTTAACAAACCCGCATTGAACGTTTTCGTAACGGCTACACCACGCCTCACGCCATGGCACGCCTTGAGGCGCGCCTTTTAGAACCATGGTAAATACCATATTGGAAAAAGATTAGGAATATATACCGATGGGAAGATTCTGTAAAATCATAAATTCATAATAACCACCATAATCCAATAATCCAATCTACGATTTTCATAAATGTCACGTAAAAAATTCATAATCATTGTTGTTTATTCATATCTAGTCACAAATTTTCAATCCTTAAGAGAATCAGGCTGAGCGTTTCAGAATAGTATTCAAGAATCCACAAAAATACGGAAAAAAAAAAGGAACTTGGAAGCCTCACCAATTGTATATAAACCTTGAACAGTAACTTGTATAATACATATATTAATCACATGTGTCTTTTTTCCCTTATTTTCTGATATATTTTTTTTTATTCAAGATCTTCATTGTCCAACCATTCTGATCTCAACTGCCGTATCATCATTCATTTGTAACTATACCAGCAATCTTTATCTGCAACAAGTTATAAATATATACACTAATTCAACAACAAGATTCAAGAAAAAAAAAATAGTTCTTATTTTTATTTTTTTAGAATCGAAGACTAACAAACCTGTAAACGATTTGACCCGGGATCGATTCTCATAATATAACACACGCACATTTGTTTTGTTTAAGGTTACTTGTCGCTTTCTTTTCTGGTAAATGACCAAAAAAAGAAGGTTGTCTTATGTTAGAACAAGAAGATACGTAAGCTAGTGGGAAAAAAACTGTTCTTTATATTCTCCATCCATCTCTTGAAAATTGCAAGATTTCTATTTATGGAAAGGGATTAGAGAGACATGTATATGGCAATTGTCATTGTTACAAAAGAAAAAAATGATAATATTGATTTGGGTCGACAAGATTCTTTTGCTTTCTACAAAAAAAAAAAAATTATTCTTCCAACAACCCCTCAAATCAATTGTTCAAAACATCATGTCAGATGCAAATCAGGCATACAGTGGCCCTCTAGGTGGTTGACTAAGGCCCAAATCCCAAAGCCAACAATGAGCCCAATCGACATTGGAATTAAAAACTTTTCTAGAAGCAAGTGAGCTACTCGCTTGAAGACAAGATTCTCTTGTTTTGTAGTCATTTTAGATATACTTTAAGCAAAAAAAGAAACCTTTACAAAAAAATAAAGTGTTGCACAATTTAAATGAGATGGGGAGTACTTGTTGTAAAGTTGAAAGTCATAGTTAGAAATTTCTAAAGAAAACTAGACATGCATATGAATTTTGGAATGAAATAAAAGGCTATGTATGTCATACTGTATTTTTATTTATGTATTGAACAAATCATTTTCCAGACTAACATTCAATATTTTTTAACAAATTTAGACGAACCTTTTTCCTGTGGGGGTTGACTAATAACAACATGCATTGTTGTAATTCCACCAGGGACATCACATAAAGCACTTCTGCATTCTCCTACTGTTCTATTGTTCTCCAATATTTTTCCTGCACTAATTATCTTTACATCTTTTACAGTTCTTGGTGCATTCTCCTTTTCTGTTCCATAAAAAATAACAAATCCCCATTCAATATCAATACAGTTCTTATATTCTAAACATAATAAACACTTTCAAGTAGATCATAAGGGCTTTAGAAGAACAATGGAGAAAGTTCCTTTCTTGTATCACTAAAAACAAGTCCCTTTGAGTTTTGAATCCCAAAAGTGATTCACAGAAGTAACAGAAATATTGTCAAAATTACATAATAATAAGTGTATAGAGTATAGACTAACCTTTAGGCCATTGAGAAAGGATGCTTTCTTTCAAGGTTGCAACACTTGCAGCTGCTGGAAAACTTTTTGGACCAATATCTGATCCATCAATCAAACGAAACTTAATCTCTAGTGAATCTTGAACAACTCCCGACATATCCAAATTCCTAAAAACGCCCAAGATCTATATGATTTTGAGTGCAAAGGAACAATTATGTAGCCCTAGAAGCTACACAGTGATGGTCTTGATTTTGATCGACAACCATTAATTGTGATCACGCTGAAAACTTCGAATCCTTGAAATTAAATAGTCTCTGAGCTGATATAAGATCCCCTGAGAATAATATTTCAAGCATGAAACAATCAAATCTACTGATTGCAGACTAAATACAAGAATCAAGATCTCTCTAGCTTCAAAGAAATTAAACACCCAAATATTCTTTTGATAAATGGGTATTTCAATTGAATTGAAATTAAACAAACACTGAAACCTTCAACTAGATCAGACAAATCGATCCAAATTAAAGTCAAATACCACCAACGAAGCGTATCATCTACTCAAATCTTCAAGTGGGTATCGTTATAAATCAAGTAAAAACAAGATTAGAAATTTTCCTACATGTATGACGATTGAAAGGTTAGGGAAAACCCTTACTTTGCTCAAGAACTGATCTGGGTTGTCTCTCAGAGCGTTAAATTTGGTGAAGAATAAAGTGTGCACGATTCTTAACCCACAAATTAAAGAATTAAAATCTCGGTGCGATGATTGATTAAACATAAACAATACAAGTCAATCAGAAGAAAGGAAGAGGATAAAGAAAGGAGATGCAGGATGGGGAGATGGAAGGATAAAATGGGGGTGTTTGGGAGTTATCGAAAGTCTTGGAATTGTGTGGCCAAATGTGCCAAACTTTCTTCAGCCTTTTCTCCTTCGAATACTCCTCCGAAGTCTATGGTTTAATCGACGTATTTTCTTTTCCCCACTTCTCCTATAAATATACATATACTCTCCTACTCAAACAAAGTATTCAAGATTTGTGTTCTTGCATTGTGTTGCATATTGTCATTCTTGAAATGGTTTGATATAATATTTTAAAATGTTTAACGGTTAAAATGATATAAATATTGTTCATACAAAAAATTTGGCAGCATTTCCATACATTATTAAAAAGGATGCAAAATAACTGTAATTGTTATGTTAAGGCTTTTAGAAAACAAAGTTTGTTATAGTAGGAAACTTAAACATTTATAATTAATATTGAGTTTTTCAGATACCTTGCATAAAAAATTGGGGCAGAGTATTTCGAATATAATACTAGTATATCTCAGTAGTTTTACAAATGAACTAGTTGTTTTAAAAAGTCAAATTGAATAATAGATATATTTTGTTCTTATTTAAAATTTTTATAGAGAATGATAAATTGAACACATTTACTTTTAAAAAGACAAATTGTATAATAGATATATCTGTTCTTGTTTGAAAATTTTATAGAGAATGATAAATCGATAAAGTGTTCTTAAGTTTTGTTTTAACTTTTAAAAGAACGGTAAGTTAATTAAAATCTATCTTTACTGTATAAATATTTGATAAGAGCATATAAATTAGGACGGAACTGAAAGGGATATTTTTGTTATTATACACGAATTGTCCTTATGGTTGGTTAATTTATGAGTTTTGTCCATAACTTTTGATTACAAGCCATACCGTTTGAATTTGTTTAGTTTTTTTGTCCTGATAACTTAAAATTGTGATATTGCCCTTAAGATTTTTCTATCTTTCTTATTTATTATTTTTTTATTAATAAATAGAATAAATTATTAATATATTAATTAAAATCGTTTACACTCCCTCCCTTATATCCTAACATCCATGTCTTCGTCGGAAAAACACCACCATCCTTGACTCAAAGCCATCACAGAAAAAACCATAGACCACCATCACCACCCATATCGGAGAAATCAGAACTCATAAAATCCTCTATGATTAATCCATTATTTCAACTAGAAAAAAAAATATCAAAACATGATTTCTAAAAACCTACATCAAATCCATTCCTCCCTCGCCGAAAGCTCAGGCAACTCTCCAGATCTAGAACATGAATCCTTTATTCTAATGATTCCACATAATAGAAAAATGTCATGTAAGACCCCTTTTGCGAACTTGTAGCAGTAAATTGGGGTGTAGATATCCTTAAAAAAAGTTCGTTGTATAATAATAATTATTGTATGTGTTGGTAAAATAATACTATGAAAGGTCGTATTGTTTTGGAAGATATTGTTGACTTAGGCCTTGTTTCTTTTTTTATTTTGTTAACTCCTGAATTTATAAAATGTACTGAATTGCTAATGATATTTGAACTGATAAAGTATTGTTGATATAAATGTTGTTTCTTTTTTGGGTTGAATGCACTTACCTAATCTGAATAATGACTATTTTATCCTCCTGTTTAAAATAATAAATTACTATTTTTTAATACTTGTTATAGAATATGAAAAAAAATATCATTTATTTAAGAACCATTCTAAATTAAAAGTGTATACCATCACATTAAATAACTTTTAAATTTAAATAAATTAAAAATAATGTGATACTTAACTAATACATTCTAATAAGAATAATTCTAACATATTCATTATACTAAATTAATAGTTTTATGAAAAAAATTAGGCGTATATTTAAAAAATGTTCATCGTCGCAATGAATTAATATCCTTATAGAACTGGAACTTACATTGACAATTATTAAAAGACATACACTAAGCATGTTGTTTTTTATTCTCTTTTTAGTAAATGTAGTCTTGAAGGGGTTTTTATATCGTTATTATTTTGTTTTGAAACAGAAAATCACGAACATGGTCTATAAAAATAGATTAATTTATGAGTAATAAAAAATATTCTAAAATCATGGGCATACCTTTTTAATTTTGAGGAAATCATGAGTGGTGTGGAGGGTAATTTTAGAAAAACAAATATAAGATTACCACTTAATGTTAAGGACATTTATTTTCCAACTTAATCCACTAAGATAATTTGTTAACATTAAGTAAAAAAGAAAAGGTCTTATATAGCTAAACTTATTAACTTTTCTAAACAGTAAGTCCATTAAGTCAAAAAGAAAGAAACCCTCAGTATTGTTAAGTTGTTAGCCAGTAGCCAATGTTTGAGACTATGAAAACAAAACCTAATGATGTCTAAATGATTAATTCTTGATCTTTAAATGTATCCACGATAATGTAGAGCACATAAGTGAAAGACTCGGCTAAAACAGAGCTCGTATGAGAAAAATATGGTTGTTGGAAGTTTGGGGGTTGGAATAGAATTGAGTTTGGAAGTACATTACCTAAAATGCACAAGATAAGACAAATTTGGAAAACACAATCGTGATTTGGCGTTGGGATGATAAAAGAGGGTGGAAATAGGTTTTAATAAAGTATATTAATATCTTAGGCACATACAGCAGGGAGACTAGTATGACCCGTGTTTTGGAGTCAAATCCTCCAAAAGAATGAATAAAAGGGGTATGTCGGCTTCTAGTGTAACACTCGATTCCAGGTATGAAATTATTCCCAAATTGTGCATGATTCATTTTTGGCCACGGCGTGGTGAAGCCTCACCACGACGTGTCGATAAGCCTTTGGGCCGCGGAGTTTAATGGACCACCACGACATAGTGGTGTTGAACCACGACATGGTGGTGACTGATGGAGAAAACCTTAAACTTTAAGAGTTGAGCCCTATTTAAGGATCATTAACCCCCTCATAGCCTCCCTCACATCAGCCTCCATTCCCCCAAATCGTTCGTTGCAAACCCTAATCATCTTCCTCCATTTTTGAGCTAGTTTGGTGCTTGTTGAAGCTAAAGAAGGAAGAAGGGGGGAGGAATGAAGCAAAGATCAAGCAAGTAAGTCCCCATTCTTCACCTTGGCACTCTTCTAGACCTTTGTATGTAACGACCCAAAAATTCAAGGGTATTTCATTTTTAATATAGTCAAAACATAGATATCATTTATTCCAAACATCCAAAACATCGTTAATTAAAACATTTATCAGATTTCATCCCAAAATCATTCAATGCGGAAAACATGGGTGTGTGCACTGCGATCAATCTGAGCCCTTCCTTTCCAAACCGATGATACCTGAAACAATAAACAAAACTGTAAGCACGAAGCTTAGTGAGTTCCCCAGAGCATACCCCACACAGTGCACATAATCACATAATCCATATTAGCTATAAAAGGTACATAAATCATATCAATCACATATCCATATCAATCACATAGCCATGCATATAAGCATATACGGATGTCGTGGGCTCGTCCCCACGGTCTTACTCCAGGATGCCATGGGCTCTCCACATGGTCTTACACCTAAGTATCATGGGCTCTCCCATGGTCTTTGATAGGAAAGCCATGAGCTCACCACATGGTCTTACATCCAGGTGTCATGGGCTCTCCCATGGTCTTCCATGCAAGTATCACAAAGAAAACTAGCATACCACATAATTACTAGCATACCACTTATACATGCATACCAGACATATCAGTAGTGAATCTACATTAACACTACAACATAGTAGGAAAGTCATGGGCTCTCCACATGGTCTTACATCCAGGTGCCATGGGCTCTCCCACGGTCTTCCATACAAACATACCACATATACCACTAGTATACTTCCTAGCACATAACCAGCTAACATGTCACATAATACAACCTCAGCTAGTGTACCACATATCATAAAATGGGCCGGCCTTGGTGCCTTACACCCATTGGTATGATGAGGAGACTCACCTCTCAAGCTGACTGCCAAATCCCGCGAATAAACCCCTCGCTGCTAGCTGGTAGATCCCTGATCTGCTGATCTCTCGACTCCCCGAGCTACCGATTATCATACAACTTAGATAAGTCCGAGATTCTTATAACTTAATCATAAGTCCTCACTGGGGTAGAAGACCATTCCACCCCTCACATACTCTTGTCCAAAGGCCTTCATAAGTCAACTAGGTCAACCTAGTCAAGGTCAAAGTCAACGGTCAAAGTCAACGCTCCGAGTTGACTCAACTCGTCGAGTCACCCCCCCTGACTCGCCGAGTTCCTATGCCACTCATAATCACGAAATCACGAACCAACTCGTCGAGTCCCTTCACGGACTCGTCGAGTTCCTTCTGAACATAATCAGGACATTACCATCTTAACTCGTCAAGTCCTTCCATGGACTCGGCAAGTTCTTCAGTCTGTTAAGCCTTCCTTAATGGGATTAAGCCACTATACTTCAGATCTGAGCCCCAAACTTCGTCCATATGCTGGAAATGACCTCTTAAGGGTAAAGTTTCTAACTTTACCCACTCTTAGTCCTTCTTAATGGTTTTAGCTCAAACCCTAGCTCCTTAAGACATAGATTCATTGTCCAATGACCATAATATTCCAAACTAAAACACATCCACATAGATCCAGGCATTAGACACTCACAAACACGTAAATCCTCTGCCTTTTCATCCATGCATGGCCCTTTATGGCTCAAAAGGCCATAACAACTCCTTAAAGCTTGCATGGGGGTTTCTAATGGCATAAAGCTTGCACTTTTATGCCTTAACCACCCTTAGGGATTCCAGATCTGAAAGGATCTTGCTTGGGACGTCCTTGTCCCATAGATCAAGCTCCATGGACCAAAACTCTCGTGAAATGGACATAAATAGATCTAAGAAACTATACGCTAAGATGAAGACTTGATTACCAGAGAATGATGGAAATGAGATGGTGTTGCTGGATCTACAAACTTCTCCTTGAAACTTCAAACTCCTTCTTCTTCATCTAGTCTCCAAGAGCACCTCAACTCACTCAAAAATGGCTCACACACTCAATAAGAACTCTAGGGTTTCGTGGCTTATGTTATGGGCAATGGGGGCTGGGAATGGAACCCAAAGGAGGAGAATAGGATGTTTAAATAGGGTACTAAGTCCCAAATTTAGG